ATAAATGGAAACGGCGGTGGAGCGGTGTCTAGCTTTCAAGTTCCTGGGGGTCACATATCCGATGAACTCTCATGGTCAACAATACCACCAGCATAGTAAAGAAGGCTCACCAGCGTCTCTTCTTCCTGAGGAGACTAAAGAAAGATCACCTCTCTCATCAGATTCTGGTGAACTTTTATCGCTGCACCATTGAGAGTATCTTGACCAGCTATATCACAGCCTGGTATGGGAACTGCACAATGCTCCATAGGAAGGCATTACAGATGGTGACGAAAATCGCCCAACGCATAATCGGTGTCCCACTCCCTGCCATCGAGGACATCCAGGGGATACGGTGTATTCGCCGGTCTTCTGTTTGCGTTTGTAGTAATGTGTTATTTATTTATTTGCATGTACAGCACTTTAACTCGACCAAAAATATTTTTAAAATGTGCTATATAAATAAAACATGATTTGATTTGATGTAAAAATATTTGTGTTGTACTCCTGTTTTCACTTTAGAGCGCTTTTAGAACTTATAGGGTTATAATTTCAGCGCCCCACTCTCCATTGCTGTTTATGTTGAAAATAAAACTAAACTTTTCACGACCACAATATTTTTAAGTGATTTAAATGCGGAAACTGGGGTTATTCATCAGAATTTCGTATGACTTGACTTGTGACTTGCTTGGCCTGAGCAATGACTTGACTTGACTTGCTTGACTCCCACCACAGTGACTTGGGACTTGCTTTAGACTTGTAGGTTAAGACTTAAGACTTACTCCCACCTCTGGTAACTCCAAAACAAATATGTGCATTTGTAAAAAGTGAAACAATCTCATTTCAATGACAGACTTGCCCCATTTCAAAGTCCTTGCAAAACAAGTCTGATTATATAGAGGTCGAAGAAAAAAGAGCAAGAGAGAGAGAGACTCCCTGTGGACCAACACACAGCCGAGAGAACACTATGAAAAATATGATAGCAGTACAAGACAGAAAGAAATGTCTCATGCTACAATTCAATAGCTACCTTAGTTTCTCTTTCCACCTGCAAGTATTGTCCTTTCAATTCCATGAGCCCAAGCTGAGGCTTTTATACATCTGTAGTCTCCAACTTCACTGCTAAACTATTTATCTACAGTAGCCTACACAACTTGTTACTACAATACCCCACTTTGCAAAACTTTTATATCAGACTTGATGAAAGACATGTCATTCTCTGTTTATATTACTTAAATATTTTTGATCCTGTAAATTACACAGTAGAATCAATAGTATACTTAGGCTATGTAAGGGTAAAGCACCAGTGTAAGTGAATGCGTTTTCTGAACAAAATGAACTGTGTTAATTTCTTTTTTTTCTTCTTTTTTTTTTTCACCTCAAGCAAGTCATACCGTTGTGTGTGCTGGTGAATTAGTTACAGGTCTAAAAGTGCTTAGTTATGTGATGGTACCTCCAGGACTTTTCCGGTGATGTAGTTCTTGCAGCTCTCACACTGGATGCCAAACATGGCGTGGTAGTCCATCTCACAGAAGGGGATTCCATCCCTTAAGAAACACACAGTCAGCAGGTCAGTCAGCAGCAGATACAGAGTCCTGTCTGAGCGTTAGCATTACAAACAAGGAAACATTTCACACCTGGTGCAAAGTAACTAATCTACTTTATACTTCTACTCCACTACATTTCAGTGGTGAATATTGTACTCTATTTATTGTAACCCTCACACTTACTCTGTACATATAAAAACACAATTTGCTGATAAGGTATAATGCAGTGCTGTACTACTTTTCCACACAGTATTTCTAGTATCTACATTTGGTCCACATTGAAGCAGGCCATTGTGTGAAAGCTTTGGCTGTGATTGGGTTGTGATTGTGACTCTTTTAAGTTGTCTGTAACTGTGCTGCTGCCTATCTAGGGCCAGGAATCTCTTCGACCTATCCTGTTAAAATAAAGGTAAATAAAGGTAAATAAAAAATGCTATATGCATTTATCAGGATAATATAATAACCATAATAATAGAAAACTGTAAAGATCCATTTTGCATAACGAGTACTTTTGATACTTAATGTACATTTAGCTGATAATACTTAAGACTCAATTTAAGTTTATTATTCATACTTTCTATTTAGTTTAATATTAGTTTATACGTTTACTGAGTGACATCCAACACTAACCCTATGACAAGTAGTACTAGGTGTGATATTAATGGAGCAGTGTGCTCACAGCAGCTTCAGACTTACTTGCTGATGTACTCAGCATTGAGCACCTTGTTGCACACTTTGCATTTGAAGCAGCCAAGGTGCCAGTGCTTGTCCAGTGCCACCAGAGACTGTTCGTTCTTAAACTCCTTCCCACAGCCGCAGCAATCTGTGGGGAGAGGACAGCAGAGAAGAGGACATTCCAATACATATGACACTTAATAGTCTGCCAGCATTGTGAACCTGGAAATGTTGAGTTGTATGTCACAAATGTAAAGTAACTTGCTGTATGTTGGGCAATTTGCACGACTAGCATAAATTGCGTTAATTAGCATTATAGCCTGTGCAGACAATAGTTCAGAAATGGCTTGGCTGATTCGGACACTTTGGGAGTGGGTTTGGGATTATTGAGGATGCTGAATCAATTTCTGACAGTTTCAGGATTACAAATGCCAGTTTTACCCAGAGGGCCCTGTTTGTTCTCCCGGAGGGTAATTTTTGGTCGCTTTTTAAGTTTTAGGGGAGTCTGGATCATTTGGATCAGATAATTGTCTCTGCATGGCAGTTCCCTCTTAGGTAATTTGGTTTCATGAACCAAAACGATTAAACTAGCAGTAGACATTTTGGTGTCCTGAGAAAATGACTTAACACAATTTAAGAAAGTTCCAATTTAAGGGACGGGGCACAAAATGAGGATAACAAGCAGTGTGACGGATCATAGTTTGCAGGGAGCACAAGTCTACTTTTGGCATGATTTCTGTTTGGAGAGAAGATCACAGGAGACAGAGACAGGGTCAGAGAGAGAGACAGGGTCAGAGACAGAGACAGGGTCAGAGACAGGGTCAGAGACAGAGACAGGGTCATAGACAGAGACAGGGTCAGAGGCAGGGACAGGGACAGAGACAGGGACAGAGACAGGGTCAGAGACAGGGTCATAGACAGAGAAAGAGACAGAGACAGGGTCAGAGACAGAGACAGAGTACTGACTGTGGACGGCCTGGATGGGTGCTGGGCTGCTGGCAGGGAGGGGCTCGGTACACTTCTGGCAGATACACTCCTTCCCGTTAAATGTCACTCTGTCGCCGGCGGGAAATGGCTGTCTGCAGACAGGAAGCAGAGGAGGAGGTCAGACTGATCCCTGTGTGCTGCCCACAGCTTACACAGTTTATCTGAGCCTCTGAAACAGAGTATAGGCTACTTCAGAGGCTGAGGTGCTTTAAAATGTTTCACTGCAGTTACAATAATTACATACACCCAAACCTGAGTGAGTTCTCTGATCTGAAATACGAAGTAAAAACTATTCTAATGTATTTATTACGAAGCAGTAACATGTAATCTATATATTTCTGTACTTTAAATAAAACATGTAGAGAGATGTTGAGTTAATGAGAATAAGTATTACATTACTCAAGTATATAATCTGCAAAAAACACAGTGTAAAACATCAAATTGTCAAATAGTTATTTCATTTATTTTAGCTTGGAATTTATATGGACACCCCTTTTCCCAAATGTTTGTGTCCTTTGGTGACGGTGGTACACTTGAGCATCATGTTAAACAGAGTTTTATTTCTGAAGGCATTAAGACAAAAGAGTGTAGAGAAAGTAGAGCAGTAAGTAAAACAGTAATCTCCATATAAGTGAATTTCTAATGGTTTCGAACATCCGAACCAAGCTTGTTACTAACGTTTGAAAATGTGACCCCAGAACTAAACTGATTGATTCAAGCTTGGTCACATTCAGAGACCAATATTGAAGCGCTTTTGCCAGCACATATTTTGTTCTGCACAATAAATGGTGTGCTTCCAACTTTGTGTCAATAGGACAATACCCCTTCGTACAAAGCCTGTTCCACACAGATGTGTTTTTCCCAGTTTCAGTACTAAGAATTAGACCTTAACATCAGTGTTTGGCCTCAGTAATAACTGAATAGGAGAATATCTCTGCAGCAAACATCTGGTGGGGAGTGTTATATCAGCATGTAATGCCAAATCCCTTTATAGACATTATACTTTTAAGAGGAATATTATATACACAATGAAACAAAGTTAATGTCTCCTGGCTATGTACGGTATGTGCCACTCCAACACAGCTGAGCTGAGATTATAGATGATTCATGTATAAAAAGTACAAACAGTACATTGATTGATTTGCCCTATTTTAATATTCTGCACAATAAGCCTGTGTGTTTGGCTATCACAAAAGCAATATTTGTTATAAGATAAGAGCACAGGATTATAATGATCACATTACAAACCTCAAAGCCACACTGGAACATTGTGATCTCAGGTTCAGCACGGGTATGACCAAGGGTATCACCAATGTATGATAGCATAGGCACATGCAACCCCCCCCCCACTGTGGCCTAGCTGTGGGATTGGGCTAACAACACGTACAATTCCTGCCTGAGGGAGGCTATCATTACCTTTCCAGGCCTGAGAAAAAGCGGTGGCCACACACAGAAACACATGAACATAATTATGTTAATTTGTCTTACAAAAAGGGGCAAAAACTAAATGTTTTTAAAGAGTTGAGTCAGGGTTGCATTGAAAAACAGAAATGAGTGACAGACTTGTGAGCAGGTTGAGTGTAAGGAAAGCGCTCGAGCCGTTGACAAGTCTTAAATTGAGTCAATCTTTTTCAGCACTTTTAGGTCTTCTTCTGCATGTTTGCCTAAAAGTGTAAGCCATTGACACATGGAAGTGTGTCACACTATGTCTTACTTGCAGGAGGCGCAGACGAAGCAGCGGGGGTGGTAGGTCTTCCCCAGCGCGGACACCACCTCCCCCTCAATGAAGTCCTGGCAGCTGAAGCAGCGAGTTCCATACATTCGCTGGTAGTCCAGAGTACAGATGTACTCCCCCTGACGCACGAAGAAGCCTCCCTGGGCCAACTCAGCTCCACACACTGTAGAAAGTTTGGAATGCAGAGAGGGAGGGTGGAGGGTTGTGGAAAGGTGAGAGGACAATGGGGAAGGGAAAGAACGAAAGAAAAATGGAAAGAAGTGGGAGAGAGAGATGAGACATTGGAAATACACATGCTTCCCTGCACATTTACATCTTTAAGCTAATTCCAAAGCAAAGCCATAGTGCAAAATAGTGTGAATGATGTAAACTGTGAACATTTGTGGCTGAATTTAGCTGAAAATGCAGAAAAAGCTGAATATTTTATTAGCTGAATGGTAGCTGCTTTTAGCTACAAAAACCAAGTAAGTTTGTTGCTGAACTTAGCGGAGAAATGCAGAAAAGTGAAATGATTTGAATCAAAATTGTTACAGCTCAAAATAATTGCAATGACTTTGTTGGAAACTTGAAAGTGAAATGTTAAACTGGAAGAGTAGGAAAAATAGTGAAGAAGCTTAATATTTAAAAGAAAAGGTTTAAAAAAGGTATAAACAACAACATGTATAGCCTCAATGTCCTGAAATAGCTGAATACGTTAATAGTTGAATGGTTTCTGCAGCTGAAAGTAGGCTGAAGGAGTTAGATATTAAATGTAAGTAGGAGTGAATGAATGTTTACAAACACCTGTGTGTGTAAGCCCAGAGATCAAAGGTTACCATGGTGACGACATTATCAAACACCTGTTTAAGTGAGCCCAGAGATCAAAGGTTTTCATCGAGATGTGCTGTGAAAGGAGAGCCTTTCCATTTGATCTGAAGGAGAAATAAACCTCTTACATTTATAACTGTAGTTTAAAAACGGTAGCTGCTTTTGGTAAAATGTCAATGTCAATGTGTGTGTGTGTGTGTGTGTGTGTGTGTGTGTGTGTGTGTGTGTGTGTGTGTGTGTGTGTGTGTGTGTGTGTGTGTGTGTGTGTGTGTGTGTGTGGTAGAGATGTGTGTTTGTGAACATATTTAGTATAAACATCCAGTGTCTGTGTGTGCGTGTACCAGTCTGTCTGTGGGCGTGTCTGCTCTGATTAGATGATGATATTATTTTTTCAATGCCATGCAATCTACCCACACTACCTTTGCGATCGACGTATTGGGCACCCCTGCCTTACACTTACACTGTAAGGATTAGTAAAATGTATTGTGTTTATGTGATGTCATTTAATGACATCACATAAACACAATACATTTTACTAATCCTTACAGTGTAAGTGTAAGGCAGGGGTGCCCAATACGTCGATCGCAAAGGTAGTGTGGGTAGANCTCTCCACCGTAGTCCCATTGATGGCCATGGGGGCGTGTCCCTCTCTCTGCTGCTTCTTGTAATCCACAATCAGCTCCTTGGTTTTGCTGACGTTTAGATGGAGGTTGTTATCCTGGCACCAAGATATCAGTGTTCTGGCCTCCTCTCTGTACGCCGTCTCGTCGCCGTCTGTGATCAGGACGATGACGGTTGGGTCGTCAGAAAACTTCACGATGGTGTTGGAGCTGTGTGTGGCCACGCAGTCGTGAGTGAACAGGGAGTAGAGGAGAGGGCTGAGCATGCAGCCTTGAGGGGCTCCGGTGTTGAGGATCAGGGTGGAGGATGTGATGTTTCCCACCCGCACTGCCTGGGGTCTGCCCGTCAGGAAGTTCAGGATCCAATCACAGAGGGCGCTATTGAGCCCGAGGTCTCTGAGCTTGATGACCAGCTTGGAGGGAACAGTGGTGTTGAAAGCTGAATTGTAATCAATGAACAGCATTCTCACATATGTTCCTCTGGTCCAGGTGTGAGACCAGAGGTGTGGATGGTGAGGACTATGGCGTCGTCTGTGGACATGTTTGCTCTGTAGGCAAACTGCAGTGGGTCCAGAGAGTCAAGGAGGGAGGAGGTGATGAAGGTTTTGACTAACCGCTCAAAGCACTTCATGATGATGGAGGTGAGTGCTACTGGTCGGTAGTCGTTGAGGCTGGTTTGACTTTGACAGGAACGATGGTGGAGTGTTTGAAACATGTGGGGAAAAGGGGAATACACATGGTCCAGTGTATTTCCGCCGCGCGTCGGGCAGCTGATGTGTGTCTTCCTCTTATTTCTTTCTTGTGCTCTTGTTGTTCTCCTCCCCAACATCCCCTCGTCCCTAGGCATGTGGATCGTGTTAAAATGCAATGAGAGGTTGAAATAAATGAAGCAAAGCAGGATGTTGGAGGCAGTAAATCAGGTTAAATTGAGTCAGGAGTTAAGTTGACTTTCAAGTTTGTTCTTATTCTGAGAAAAATAAATGTTAAATAGATGGTAACCAATAAAAGATGACTAGGCAGGTGATGAACTAAAATGCTCTAAAAAGTCATGTCTAGTGGGAATCTAGAGTGACAATAAACATCTTTCTATTTCTGAAATGACTTAGTCTAGTCCAGTCAATAGCAAAAAGAAAGCAGTACATGGTGTGAGCCAAAGAAGCCTTAACATTGGTTCCAATGAAGAGTTTTGTTTTCCGGAAAGTTAACACTTTTAAAGAAATGGAGCAAAGAAATGGTAAAGCAACAGAAAAAACATCTGTAGCAGCCATGCAATTCAAATGTATCAGAATCATCCTTGAAACCAACCCAAATGTAATTGAATGAAATGTTATGTTTGATTTCATCATTTAAAAACCCTCCATCTCTAAGACAATAGAGGGGGGGGGCAGTTGAGATGAAGATGCAGATGGGGAGTGGGTTTGTCTTATCTTCAGATAGCAGAATGTTTCGCAGCAGGATCACATATCCATGAGTCCGTGTTCGAGAACACTATTTCGGGGCTGAAAACCAAATGGTTATCTGTAACAACCCAGTAGTATAGAGCTATAACTTTAGAACCAGTAAAATGAATTAAAAAAAATGAAAGAGCACTATTCTAATTTTGCATAATTACAAGTACGCAATGACAGTGAGTCCAGGTATACTAATAAAATACTTATGTTTTTCAAATGACTAATGTAAGGTATATAGCTTACAGGGCAGCTTGGTTACAACATTCTCCAAGGCTGAAAGGAAGATTACTTTACAGGACACTGATAACTTCCATATTGGGAGGCTTATCTTGTGCACTATGATCCACTTACATAATGTGAATGCACTCAGAGGCTTTTCAAGGAATTCCACTGGCTGTTGCATCTGCTTCCTCCCCGCTGGAGGACCTCAGAACCACAGTTTGTCCTTCAGTTCAATTGGAGACTAAGTGAGGGAGGTACATGCTTGAGCATATGGATGTGCAACAAATTTGCCATGGTGTTATTTGTAAATATAATATGGAGCATCTCCTTTATTTAAATGAGCTCTGGATGCCAGACCTGAATACTTTTGGGACCTAACCATATCAGATACAACGGCCTTCAAATGAATTGAATCTGCAGTTCATGTAAAATAGATTAAGCCTATTGCAAGTCAGCAGCCCGGAGCTGGTTGCGGAAAATTTAAATATACAGGCACATCTGAGGTAGCCTGTCCAGTGTGTGTGTGTGTGCGTGCGTGCGTGCGTGCGTGCCTGCGTGTGCGTGCATGTCTTTGTGTGTTTGAAAAAAAATGAAATGTGTATTTATTTTTCACTCACTACAACTCCAGAGACATTATTCACAGACAGGACATGTCATATAAAATATGTATGTGCTATGTTCTCACATGGGGGTGACCTTGCCCCCACCTCGTCTTTCACAATGACCCCCACTGTGCCTGTGAGTGACAGCGTGAGCAGGGTTAAATATACATGTGCTGTGTGCTTTCTGCTATTCAGGTGCGACCTTGACTGCACGTCATGTTTTACAATGACTCACCACCTGTGTGTGTGTGTGTGTGTGTGTGTGTGTGTGTGTGTGTGTGTGTGTGTGTGTGTGTGTGTGTGTGTGTGTGTGTGTGTGTGTGTGTGTGTGTGTGTGTGGGTTCACAGAGGAGTCACGGAGCATGTTGACTAATCCACACACAAACATCTTCTCTTTGCTGTTATTTTTTCCAGAAATAAAGAATGAAGGGAAAATAAAGGAGTGGTTGTGTTTTTGCTAAAGGAGTGGAAAGATAGAGCGATGCTTCCCCTGAGGGTGTGGCTGGTCTATGATGTCATATGGTTGCCATGGTAACTGTGTGTAATCACTGTGTGTAATCACTGTGTGTTGTCAAGTGGAGACAGTGATTTTGAGTTCCTGTCATATGTTTTTAAGAGCCAAACAATAGACACACACACACACACACACACACACACACACACACACACACACACACACACACACACACACACACACACGCACATACACATATGCATGCATAATAACACACCCCCTTCTAAAAGTCTTTTTTTAATTCATTTTTTAGGAAAACAATCAGACGTGTAAAACTGCCTCTGCTCACCAAAACGCCCCCTCCTATTTGAACTGCTTTTCAAATTAATGTCTATAAATAGATTTGTATGTTGTTGTGTTTGTTTATGTTTCTCTAATGATTTAGTTTATACATATACTGTACTAAAACTAATATAGTATAGCACAGTACAAAAAGTATAGTGCAGTGTAGTACAGATCAAATTCTATACGTTTTTCTTTGAAGGTAAAAGGCCAAAATGATAACTAATCTAAGTGTATGCGGACCATAAACAGTCTATGGTGCAGACATGCTAGCAGCTCTGGGATCATTAAGCTTATAACTGACCATGATACATTAAAAAAACACATAAATAGGAGATTTAGAGAAATGGAAGACCACAAAACACCAATTTATAAAACAATACAAATGTCAATGTCTACTACACTGCTTGAGCTCCAGATCTTACCTTCTGATTAGCACTAAACACCATTAAAGGTGCCCTGATGACAGGTGAGGATCTCGACGTGAAGATGGTAGAAAGGGAACATGACGTGTCAACCCTGAATATCCGTACCACAATTTATATTGCTCACACAGAGCAGATATTAGCCTCATAGTGGTGCCAAGGGAAAAGTCGGGGGGCCAGAGACGTTGGGACACATCTGTGGACTGTAGATGTCAGAGTATCAAGACACTTCAGTCATCAACAAGATATTTCAGTTTGAACCCAAGTGGTGACGCTCATGGGATAAAACACACAAAACAATAACATATATATTCTGTTGCCAGAATTCTGTTGCCATATTCTGTTCTTCTTATTATTATTATTATTATTATTATTACAAAATATGTTATATTTAGCTTTTTAAACTCTTTTTTTTAACATGGAACTCAATGGGAGGAACCTTCAAATCCTCTTTTACATACACCTTGCGCCAAATGCTACTCCTTCCACATACTTTCAGCTAGAGACTTCATTCCAACTTGTTCTTCAGATTTTTGATATCTTTTACAGTGTTTGACTTATCAACGTTTACGTTTTGGTACATTTTCTGGCCGTTTTAGATTTTATAATGGGTGTCTATGGGAGGGACTCTTCACGGCTAGAGTGCGTGACATCATCCCTTAGAGTGTAGTGAGGGTCTTAAAAATCTTCGGAAGAAATATTTTAAAACCGCTCTCAGAGCCAAAATATACTCTATTCAAACAATTTCAGAAGATTTCAGGAGCATAATTAGTCTGGCCCGCTCAATTGCCTTCAGTGACAAAAAGTCTACCTAGCTCCCAATAGACTCCCATGTTACATTTGTACGGAACTTTCTAAAGAACAGAGAGAAGTAAACTTTAAACAAACTGCTCCCATCTTCTCATTTTACACACAAACCCCCCCCAAAAAAACGGTAACACTTTATATTAAGGTACACAAATTAACCATCAACTAGTTGTTAATTAACATGCATATTAGCAGTATATTGGCTCTTTATTAGTCATTATAAAACACTTATTAATGCCTTATTCTACATGACCATATATTAAGTAATAAGCCATTAGTTTAGAGTTTTTCCTCAATAACCCTCTAATTAGTGCTTATTTATTGCAAGTAAGGAAGTTGTTGTACATGAGTTTTGGTCTTAATATGCTCTGCTCAATATGAGCCTATTAAGGTAGTACTAAAAGAATAGTAATTCTCCCATAATAACACTTAACAAATATGATCTATTCTTATGTAACATGACATGAAACTATAAGTGTTAATTGTGTCTAAATAACTCAAAATTAGGTATTTATATCTAAGAACATGTTCCCTATTTTAAAGTGAAGTCTTGTTCATAACCAATAAGCTAGTAGTTTGACTCTAATTAGGTATTTCTATCTAATAATATGTTCCCTATTCTAAAGTGAAGTCTTGTTCATAACCAATAAGCTAGTAGTTTGACTCTAATTGACCCGAACAGGTTCCCTATTCTAAAGTTGCCTCCTCTTCACACTTTGTAAATACATTATAGCACACAACTACTGAAATCAACCTCAACAGTACGTGAACAAAGTAGGCTCACGTTGAAATATCTGTTTTTATTAATTAACCCCTAAAGAGAGGTTCAGACACATACCAAAACATGTCAAGTTTCCCCAAGGCTGAGAACACATATGCAGG